AGAGCGTCAAGCAGTGATGCTGAATTAAACATTAAATCCTTTAAAATAAATAAGTTAATGGATGTTGATAACTATGTTATCTCAGAAAAATGCATTAAAATTTTCTATTAGTCTTTCTTGAAAGCTGTACTGATGGACCGTATTTATTATAGATAGCAAAACTCCTGTTTTGAATTACCAGTAGCGAACATTTTATAAATCACCCAGGCTTTTTCCTGACGTACCCCCACAAAAATGCCAAAAACCATAGACCGGCACAAGCAATTAATAGTGTGATATCATAAGAGTACCAAAAACAGCACGTCTGTGCACTGGTTCCTATCTGTAAACCAACAACTCCACAGGAATAATCTCAGCTTGAAACATTTAAATTAGATCATCTCTCTTTCTTGTTTCCTAAACTCCCTGTCATTTGGCCCCGTGACACTTTTAAATATTTATCACAAACTAAATGATCTGAGTGCCCAGCACAGTCTGTACAAGATAAACATTACTTTCTCCCTCTCAATTATGACTTCATCTCCTCCTGTCTCCTCTTGATGTGTTTATAGCTATTGTGTTTTTCTTTTTTCCCCATCAGGAGAGGAGCTAATAGGGAGCTAATATTGCGAAAATAGACGTGCAAGCTTAACTTTACGCCAGTGAGTCGTCCCAGCGAGCCCAAGCTTTGGGCTTATTTCTGATATGTCAGGTATGATACTTTAGTATTACCTCTATAACAAGGGGACTTAGGAATTCACAGCATCTCTCCTACCAGCACAACAGCTGGTGCCAAGTACTTCATTACAAAGACTTTTGTAAATGAAAATCGGAGCATTTACCTATTTCTGCATTGTTTAACTGTGATCTTGGCAATTTCCAGACAAAGGAAAATAAGGGTTTACGAAACGTCCTCTTGGGACTGGATATTTTGAAACACAATTTACAATCTGTACATTTATCCTCACTCAGCTCTGTTTCTTCTGATGATGATAGGCTAGCTACAGCTGAAGGTTTTGTCTCATCTATAAGAGCCAAGGAAATGAAAGAGAAGTTATTCATTAGACAGCAAACTGATGAACCGCTTTACTGAAAAAAAAAGCGTCATGCCTTATTGAGGCAAGATACTAGACCTGAATTTGATTTACTGGGCTTCCATCCATTCACATTGCATTCACCGGCCATTACAGGTCTGATTGTCTTCCCTAAGCCAGGGGTAAACTTACATTACAATACTGCCAGAACAAGTCTATATTTCAATTTCTCATAATACAGAGAGAGGAACAGCTATCATTTTCACAAGTAGGCTGGTTTTGCTATTTGCTTTGAGATTCCTTTTTTCATTTAATCCATCTATTTTGAGAAAAAAAACAATTAAGCCATTCTTAAGTTTAATCATGTCCATGAATCCCATTGGAATCAAAATGATTACATGCAAATGCTTTCCTGAAAATAGAAGCTTTCGTAAATCAGGCCTGAAATTTAGCAAGTCCCTGAAAATCTGCAGCTTGGGAGTTTTTTAATGGTAGAGGATGCAGGTAAAATGGTTGTAGTTAATAGATAAAACTAGCATCTGAATTTAATAGAATTTTTTAACTTTCCCTGTTGCTTTTTCTTAGCAACTTTTAGAGCTCTAAAACTTCTATAAGCCTTTGATTTCATTTCTAGACTTTCATTTCTTTCAGAAGACCTGCCTCTGATGATTCTGACAAATTTTTTTCCTAATATAGTCGTTAGGTATTTTTAACTAGCTTGAAACAAGAAGCCTGAACCACCTGCCATTTTGTTTTCCCACGTGCTAGCTGTGAAGTTCACTGATGATAGACTGGAGGCCAGACTTTAAAAAAACCACACAGTAATAGCTGAAAAAAATCAGGCTAGTCTTCGGACACTATAACTGGCTTTTTCACTACTGTATCATAAGAATATATAAATCTTTACGTAATGGCCTGGGTAAGAATACAGCATCTATTTTTTCTCCTACGTTTTGTTTCACAATATCAAAGTATAAGATGCATGATTTGCCACACTCAGGTGATGGTTATGCCTTTTAGTTTAGAAAATACAAATAAGAACTTTACTTTTTAATGGGATTGCTCCTTACAGTGACCATTCATAGCGACTAGAAATGTTTTAGGCATACAACTGCGTATCTTAGAAAATCAGGTCATTGCCTACTGCCAAGAAAGGGCACAGAAGCAGCAATCTAAAAGCTCCTGATAAAGTTTCGTCTCCACAATGAGTGAAAAGCAGCAGCAACTCTTTAGCTGAATGTAACGAACTCAAGCTGATTGTACACCTCTGATCTTGTTACTACGTGAACCAGTAGGCATAAACGTTAAGCCAAATACTTTTTTTTCCTGTAACACCCTGTGCCTGTGGCCGAGGAGCTGATTCATGGACTACGCGCAGGCACAACGCTGTCTGTAGGCATGTATCTAAAACACGTTCCTGAAGTATGACATTTTCTGGATCTGGGACCTAAAATGTCTGTATCTTTTCCTGAGCGCTCTTCATGAGAGTAACAAAACATGACTAGCAACACAAGATAGCGAAAGAATGTACATCACAGCTCTGACAAACCGGCTCTGACAGCTTGTAACGTAACAAGTCATAATGACGGTTTGGGGAAAAACACAATGCATTTAAGACACCTCCAGTAGCAAAGCAATAATTTAGAGAGGTACGTATTCCTTAATCCTCTTGGGAAAAATTAAATATATCTCATTCAATCGAACTGTTTTGCAAATCAAAATACCGAGGAACTATGCACCCCATCAGAGTAAATATAGCTGACAAGCACAAGGGGCTGTATTTGGCATCTGTACACAGCAGTATAGCTGGCTTTAACAGGAACCTCTGCAGCTGGAGCTAGGAGCTCCTGGCAGTACCAGCTCTTCGGCAAGCTAGCAGCCAAGCAGTACTTGCTATGGCTAAAAGCTCAATATTGCTTGGGCAAAGGTATGCCCCTGCCTAGTCAGAGATTCAAAACAGAGGCTAGATTCAGAGCAACTCATTCCTCCCTTCTCCCTAGTCCCCTTCGTTTGCCTAAAATACGACTAGCATAAATGTGAAAAACCCCAGGCAAGGAAACATGGTTGTCCTCCGACACTTACAAAATACCGCTGCATGCTTATCTTGGGGAGGATGAAGAGCCTAGGTCCAAAGTTTGCCGAGGTCCATGGGAATCTTTTTTATTCTGTAATACTGTGTGCCTATGGCTTCACCTCCCACTGCTTGCCCCAGGCGAGAACATAAAGAAGTGGTGATAAAGAGGACATGAAATGCAGAAGGACTTCAAGCACTTGCGGTCAGCATCAGCTGTTAACACCTAGTTGCAGAAGACTGACCCGTGGAGTGCAGGGAGACACGCTACACTTCCACGTACACAGTGCCCAGTGAGTAGGACAAAAGGAAGGACCCTCATCAAATTAATTCCTGATCTGGAAGCAGCCAAAATGCAGTAAGCAAACCAGGTAAGTCAAGAATCTAGGCCTTCTAAATTTTTTTGTTGCATTTACTGGCTGACCTTCAGCTCAATCTTCCACATATTGAAAACAATCTTCGAATCTGATGTAATAAATAGAAAAAAAAAAAAGTTCTGAAGACAACTGCTTCATGCTCTCTGAATGAAGTATGTGAAGGCAACATCCTGCCCGACAATGAGAAAAAACCAACCAAACGAGAAAGCATTGTGTTACATGTAATACTGCACTAAAAGAAATCCTTAGGAAATAAGGGGGTTTACAGACATTTTGATTGTTGCTTCAGCTCTTCTGATAACTGATTAATTCTAGTTGTCTTTTGCATTGAACAGCGTTGGGTAGGATTAAAAATACAACCATAAACAGAAAAAAAATAATAGAAAATCTACTGTGAGCACAGCGTGACATTGTATTTTAAAATACTGAACTCACTATAATTTATAGGCACGCCATCTGCAAAACCCACTGCTCGTGAACTCTGACATGCGTTCGCAGTATAGGCAATATCTTTCTGTATGGATTTAAATCTTCATAACCCCTGAGACTTGCGTAGACAATTTATTAAAACTTGAAAATACCCTTCAAAATCTTCAGAAGTACAGTTTTAATCAGAAGAAGCCGGCTTCCTCCTCCTCCATATTTCATTTCCCCCCATTTCTAGTCTATGCAGCGGGCTGCTCTGTTGCAGACAGAGGGAAAATTATTTCTTACTAGTTTGAGGATAGTAGTCCTCCAAGTAGTCCACCTTAAAGGGAGAATGTAGAGCTGCTAAGTTAAGGAGGGAAGTCTGCATTCC